GGGACGGGGGCAGGGGGCAGGGGTCGGTGTATCTCGGAGGTTTACCCCAAGGATCGTATCGTGAGGCGTGCTGACAGAATGAGTTACCTGACAGAATGAGTCACCTGACAGAATGAGTTACCTGACAGAATGAGTTACCTCTGGGATTTGAGCCCTTCGGAAAAAAGAAACATGACACTGACAATAAGTGAAGTTTTTACAATTTACAAATATGAAATAAGAAAAGGCATGTTATACTTAAAGAATATATGGCATCCATAGAAAATCTACAAATTTGATCCTGGTGTCGATTTTTGGCCAATATCTCCATCTGTGGATAGCGAGAAGTAACTCATATTGTCAGCACGCCTCAAATTATTGTTCTACCTCAACAATGGACAAGAAATTCCCACCTTCTCTCACTCCCGTCTGCCTCAGCCCCACCACGGACAGTTCCCGGTCTAGGATACTGCTCATGACGGGGTGGAATCAGGCCCTTGTCAATTTTGGGGCGTATGGAGTTTTTGGTATCATCTTAAAGGTTATTCATTTGCTTTACCTTCGATGAAAAAAATATCTATTCAACTTGAACATAAGTTGAGATATTTGTGATTGATGGAGGAGGGGTCGCCGTGTTTGAGAAGTAAAATAGCGAGAAATTGGTCGTCAAACTTAGGGAACTTCCATAGCTTAAGAGTCCTTGGAAACTGCAAATTTACATTTCTTGAGCCTTTAATCAACGTTTTCTATAAAATCCATACATAAAAGTGTTTTTGAATGGACATACAAGGTGTCGAGCCAAAAAACAAAAAATTCAGAAAAAAATTGCCAAACTTCAGGAAAAATGACTATTTCTTTCATTTCTTTATTTTGACGAGCGCCTGATTTCACCACGCTGCCTCACATATCATAATTCCTGTGTATGGAGTACACACATCCGACAAAGATGTGTAGCATGCACACACAGCACAGGCGGCACACACACACACACACACACACAGTCTCATGCCAAATGCCACCTCAACTCTTTGGCCACTCGGTCTTTCAGACTCTACTAAAGATGTGGTTACTATGGCAACAAGCTGTTGACATCTCCCCC